AGGTTAACCCCCCCCCCCCCCCCAGTTTTGTTAAATAAAGAGAGTTTCCATTTTTGAACACACTTTATATTTTACATCAAGAAGGGGGGTTAGGGAAGGATAAGTGGAAGGAGGTGAGGGAGGAATGGGGCATGAGCCCCCGATGGGGAGGACTGGGGTGGCTCTGTGGGCTCCTCGGGTGGAAGCTCTCCTGCAGGGCCTCCTGGATCCTGACAGCCCCGCAATTCACAGTCCCTCCCGGATGGTAGCCTGTGGCAAGTGAGGGCTCCAAGATCTGGTTGACCAACATAGAAGGTTCACATTGCTGCTCAACATATGTCCAGGACTTCTGCCGTATTATCACAAGTGAACTCCTAACCTGATGCCCTGCCGGCTCTGCTTCCGGCCATCCTTAACCTCGGTTCAGGGTCCACTCAATGTGGACATGCTAGTTCGAATTAGCAAAATGCTAATTCAAACTAGTTTTTAGGTCTAGATGCACTAGTTTGAATTAGCTTAGTTTGAATTAACTAATTCAAATTAAGTTAGTGCTGTAGTGTAAACATACCCTGAGTGTGGAGAGTAGCTGGGCACTTTGCAGGGAAGGAGCAGTTTTGAACTGGCATCCTCTCAGTGCCTCTCCCTTACTGGGGCTCAGGCTGCCCAGATCTGGCCAGAGTGCTGCCGCTTCTGATCACAGATGGGAAGGGCAGACTTCTACCAGCTGAGTGTGGTTCCTTCCTTAGAGCTCATGAACCCGCCAGCCTCTGCAGGGCTCCCTTCCATGAGAGGCTCCTGGATGGCCATCATGCTGCTCTTGAGACTCAAGCAGACACAAGCAGAGGTTTTTATTGCCCAAACTCTGTTATTACCCACAGATTACACAACTGGAACACAAGGGAAAGCAGAGCCTGCTCTTTGCTGCAGCCTACAGCTCACTCAGCCCCTGCAGCCTGGCAGGCCTCCTCCCAGGAGCAGCTGGAAAGAGACCGTCAGTCTCTGCAGTGGGTCCCACATCCATGCACCATGAGGACAGCTGCCCCGTGTGTCCTTCCCTTTGTACAACCCAACGGTCTGT